TTGGGCCTCCGGTAACCTCACTCACACGGCAAAACATAACGCTGTAGTTACTTCACGCCTGTTTTCTGTGTGTATCACTCCGGTCGAGCCGACCCATTCATCCAAAGCATGGCTCTCCCACACTTAAACGTTAAGAAGTTTTTTAATTTGTTTGTGATTTGGTTTTCGAAGTTTTGATGAGTATACAATACGCGGTCTTATCGCAGAAGAGCAACCTTTTGATAAAGCTGCTGGTGTAATAGTTTATAATTAAGGTTTTTTAAACACAGTAAGGCTCACTAACTACAAAATTATTAAATAAACACTCTACTCTTCCTGGCAAAAGCAACATTGAAATCTTTGACTATAATCAAGCATTTGCAATAACATTGATTCAATGGTACTTGTCATAAAAATATCGAGGGCCCCGAAATGCCCACTCATGCGCAAGTGAAAGGGAAACTTTCGTTAACGAAACATGTTAATAATAAAAATAAACATCCCATTGTTTAGACAGAAGTCTTTTTAAAGCTTGGAGAGGTGCGCGAAATCGTCAATAATGGACAAATGGTATTTTGTCAGCTCAAACGGTTGTTAAAGGTGGCGCATACGCAACGTTTGCAAGCTTCGGCGCAGGCGCAATCTTTGTATCTACCTATGATTATGTGCGGTTTGTGCGGACGCTGTTACGACCGCTGATTACTTCACTTTCTTCATAAACACCGTGTCATGCCGGTATTATATGTAAAATAACTTTAGACAGGCCTAGAGGTGGTGCATTAGTTATTGCTGTTAGATTCTCGTAGACATACATTATGTGTTATTTATATGTAACGAAAGAAAATGAAACTTGAAGAAAATAAATAAATGAAGATGTTTGTAAGAAGTTATTAAATGAAATGCACATAAATAAAGTTGTTAATCTCCCCATATTTATTTTAAAGTTAAATTCAAAATTGTTAAGGATTTTTCTAATCAAAGTTTCCATGATAAAATTGAGAATTCAACTGAAATGAAACCTCAAAATCTAACCTTTGTGCTCGAAATGTACAACAACTGCAGAAATTCAAATTCGATGCTATGTTTGAGTGGTTACCACAGCAGCTGTATAAAAGCCACCAACCAAATACAGGGGCCACAGACAATGAATATTTAAAGCGATGTCGGCTGCAAGAGGTAGACGACGCTGCTTTTCTGCTGACTGTGCCTAAATACATATAGACAGTATGTCTAAATGCAGATAGTAAGACTGCATATATATCTAACGTGTTTATATAAGATAGTTATTTCAACTGGCTCGAAGTCAAAAATCAAATGATATATTTCAATTAGACTGTTATTATATAAGGCCCTTTTGAACGTCAAACAAAATATTGTAGCAAACAAATGAGAGTCTGTCGGTTAGTCTCCTAGTGCACCTTGTTTCAGTTGTAAATCACTACATAGTATAAAACAAAGTCGCTTTCTCTGTCCCTATATATATTTCTGTGTATGCTTAAATCTTTAAAACTACGCAGTGGATTTTGATGTCTTTTTAAGATAGAGTGCTTGAAGAGGAAGTATAACAACTCCCAATAAATAATGAAGATTAATAGAATTTAGCATTAGCGTTGCACCCACGCGAAGCCGGGCGGATCGCTAGTATAAAATAAATCCATAGAAAACAAAGATTACGCTGTATCTTCTACACAATAACCAATGATCGTTCAGTTCTCAGAAGACGAGCCAATATTAACGAGTATGGCGGTGCCGATACAGATTGATGAATGGTACTCAATTAGACGCGACTCGTACTACAGTCTTTAGATGATGGGACTCAGAAAAATCATTGGTCAATATGATTCCGACAACCAGGTATCTACATATTATTACATTCCTTTTGTCATATTATACTAGCGACCTAAACTTTACACGGACGCAATGCTCATACTAAATTTCTCCACTATTTGGATGTCATTATACATATAAACTTTCCTCTTCAATAACTCTATCTATTAAAAAAAGCATCAAAATCCGTAGCGTAGTTTCAAAGACTTAAGGATACGTATAGGGAGAGAGAAAGCGACTTTGTTTCATATATGTATGAAGTGATACAACGTTCTGGTATCTTCGATCAACCATGAAATTCCTAGATGACATAATTATAAGCGAAATCGCCACTGAGACAACCCTAATTTACCAAATTTTGGAGAAAATCTTAGCAGACCCTTACTTTGACCTAGAAATTATCTTTTTAATGTCGTAAATACTTAGTTTTAGAATTTATTTAACCCCAGTAGATACCATGTACAATATATTTGCTTGTTTAGTACTCTGTACTCAAGCGACAAGGCTGTGGATCACGTAATACGCACGCTTCTTTCCTAATGCACCGTGACCTTTTCCCAACTAGGTTGGGGGCCAGTACTGAATGCCAATCATTGTTCACATTCATATTTACTGCACAACCTATCAGGGATAGGTACTGCACAACCTATCAGGGATAGGTTGTGCAGTAAATATGAATCAGGGATATCATAGTCTTACAATAACATCCTCTATAAGAACAGATTAAAAAAAATCCTAATAACGTTGCCACTCACTCATTTTCTCCTGTGTCGTGGATGCGTTTACAAACCTACAATGTCCCATACACATCACACCCAGACCCGAAACAACAGTTTGTGGATCACACAAAGAGTTGTTCCTGTAGCACCATTAGTACAGTAAGATTTGATACAGTAAAAAGTTTAAGATGTGTGACTCAGTTGTCTATGGTTCAATCTTATAACAATAGACAACGATAAAATGTAAATTTTTGCGTCAATGACCCAAAACTATGTTACTTCTCAGTTAACCGGTACAGTTATCCACAAAATACAATACTGCATCTATGCTCAGTACATTAAAGTAAAAATATTTTAACGATTAGATTGTATTTTCGAAATAAGTGACGTGACCCACTAACATTATTCTCTTGCCTAAGTATTACATAAGTTGAAATGTTCATAACTTACGACGAGCAACTTGCTTAGAACTATGTGGGTAAAAACGAGTCGTTTGTATTCGCAAAAAAAAACTAGTTTTTTGTATCCGTTTCGTCGAACAGACTAAGACAGACTTTTAAAATTAATTTAATCGATTATTACTTCATTCGAATTTAGCTTGCTCTTTCAAGGTCGATTATGGGTATTAGGTAATTTGTTTGTTTTTTTTATAAATAGATTTCACTACTATCTTTTTAAATTTGTTTGATGATTCAAGATTCGAAAATATTTTATAAAACATCTTAAACTATCTAAGTAGCAAGATGGATACGAAAAATATCTCATTTAGTAGAATGTTTTCACAATGTCCCAGTCATAATAAGAAAAATGGTGGCAAAGACCCTTAAAACCCTTTTGACATTGTTATGCTTTCAACTCCTGGCCACTCGCCACGAATCGACCGACGAAAATGAAAAGATAACCTTCAACTTTGACCCAGAAAGGGGCAAATATTGACAGTACATCACGTCTCTCCAGCAAACATGTGCTAACCAATTTACATATTGAGTATTGAGTATAATTTTCAATTCTCACTCTCCGCCATCTTTTTGTTATATTACAAAATATAACTTAACAAATAACGATAATAATTTGATATAATATAAGTATGCTAACACTGCAGACAGTTTCCGACAGTAATGTTTACAATTCTTGGCTTTCTATTGTCCTGCTAGATGAAAAATAAAAATAAAAGAGAACCTCTTTGAAACAAAACAAATGAGGATAAAAAATATTTAAATATTTAAAAAGACATTTAACTTAACACTTTCAAATTTCGAACGATGACTAAGTAGCTATTTAAATTTGCTTACGTTCTTTTTTTCATGTTCAAACTGTCAAACGTATTCATTTAATGCACTTTTAAGCAGTTTATTCAAATACTAAGAACTGGCAAGTACCTACTAGCAAAATAGTCTAGGCTTCATTCATTTGTTTGTTTAATATTTAATTCATTTAACATTGATAATTGACTTAGGCAATTATTCAATTTGAATAGCAAAAGTAAAACTTCGTTTATAAAATTGTTGCCTAACACGCAAATGCCAAGAATAAAAAAATACTGGAACATACTCGTTATAAAATAACACTGAAGAGTCATCATTTAATTATAGCAAGTTAATAAAAAAACACGTACTAGCTTACTAAGAGGCAATGAATGAATACTTAAAACTCACTCCTTTTTTGAGGGTGGAAAATCTTCAAGTGGCATCTCTTGCCTTGGGTGGGCAAAAGAGGACCACAAACCACCCCAATCCCTCTCCTGCTCCAGCCCGGAGCAGGCCGTACTTAAATCATAATAAAGTTGTTACTAAGAGATAATACTGATACCATCAACGATTGCATCACTGCTTACCATCAGGTAAGATGGGTGGGATAGCCATAGCAGTCAAGTACTAGTTTATACGACTTAAAAAAATGCCTGTAATCTCATAAGTACGTGTCTATATTTATACGTTCTTATTTAGTGTTTTGTTGTTTATTGATTACCTTGATATAATTAAGTGACTACAAAATGGCATTGCACTATTGACCGCGGTGCACTAGAGTAATAAACAAAAACAGAATATGTATAAGTATACAAAAATGTATATCTGTATATATGAATATGAAATCCTACAGTTACATTTCATCAAACGGTTGAAACTGTCGGATATGAAACGTCAATCAATACAAATGGCTATCGGTATGATTGATTGCTTTAGACTTTGAAATAGAAATTGGAGATTAGCACGATAAAGTATCCTAGGTTAGTATACTCTTGCGTCTGATATTTCAAAATCAAGCGTTGGTTAATCATGAAAACAACACACGCATTATATCAAAACAGATATATACACGTAATTGGTAATATCTATTTGGATAATAGCCACTAAATAAAGAGCCAAAACTTTCATCCATTTAAAACTCATTAGCGCTAAAAAATTCATACCACTTCTGCCCAGTTAATGTAACACAAAAGAAAGTTTTTAAACAATATACAATTACATTACTCACCGACTCGTTTCGCCGAAATTTGTCTAGTAGAATAATTAAAAGGCACGTAGATGGTCTTGTCGAGATTCTCGGCTAGTTCTGCAGGCAGCTTGTTGGCGGAGTGGATCTCGTGCAAACATATCACATTGTCCAAATCACACCGTTCACTAGACACAGTCGTCAACTCGCGATACACTTGTGCATCAACTACGTCATCATCTTTGTGCAACACTTTTTGCCCCTTATTGTCGTACACTAAATTAGCTTCACCCTCTAAATTGTCCTGACAGCTCTTTACTGCCGCTACCCGTATCTTATAAATACCGGGTACTCTTTTTGCTTCCAGTATAAAGTCTGCTCGCTCGCCTCTACCTATCTCTATTGAATTCACACGCTCCAGTTCAATTTGGTGGCCATCCAAAGTCACAACTTCTAAAGTATGATGATCAACGGAAAATTTAATGGGACAGCTTTTTGATCCGCCTCCGTAAGCTAAACGGAATCTGTACCTTTTCCCGTATTCTACTTTAAACGATGACTGCGGGGATTCGGGAGATTCCGATGATTTCCCTCTACCGTTTATGAGTAGGGATTCAGCGTTGGGTACACGTGATACGACCCCAGCTAGGGGTCCCATAGAATGGCCCCATTCGGACACGAATATAGTGTGTTCAGTAGCGTCCACATCGTACAATTTCTTCAGAGGGTCTAAACGAGGGGACTGGCGGACAACAAATGCTCCCGCGAGACCATCGGCTGCATCTGCAGCTGAGTGTGCGTGGTACATGTGCGTGCCTACAGCGGACGCGCGGAATTTGTACTGGAATGTTGTATACGCAGGCTGAGGGCACTGTGTCAACATAGGCGCTCCGTCCATGAAGGGAGTCTCCTTCTGTGGCTGTCCTCTCCAGTGGATGGAGAGTGCGTGTGCTGGAGCTCGGTGCACCACATCTACGACCAAGATGTCGTTTTCACAGACATGCAGTGTGGGAGCTGGTAGAGCCCTGTTGGCGACCAGAACGCCGCGCTCCCGCCCGTCTGCGGATATACATGTTGCTGGACATTCACCACCATCCTTCTCTGTGCAACTGCCGCAAGATCTACGATACAAGAAATAATTATTTGAGTGGAGCATAACCAGATTATTAATAGCATTTAGCAATGCAAAAATGAAATCACTGGTAATAACCGCATTTTGTATGAGTGCTAAAAATGTTACTTACTTGCTAAGCGTCTTGTAGACTTCGATGACTAGTTTCACACGGCATATCATTGGCCAATCCAACTCATGACATTCTCGGTCGCAGTTCTCGAAATACTCCTCTGTAAACAATAGCCATTAATTAGAATTATTTATTAGTTTGAACTATTGCGTCGACTAGTATATTTAAAATAATCACAAAGCATTCAATTTAGGCGCACAATACGTACATACTCGTTTATACATAGGTACCTAACTTCATTAATCGAAGTTTACTGGGGAGCCGTCTCGCGATCGATTCTACGAACATTACAAAAGTGATCGATTGCAAAACATGTCTTTTCTGCACGTATGAACGTAGCTACTTCCTGGCGATACAGACAAGTTATAATCTTTGGCTTACATCTGACTGGTAACTCAACTGTTAAATTGATGAACTATAAGTTTCCCAATTACTGTTTATACAGAAGTTTATTTAATGTTTTGGAAAGCCGATAACTTTTAAATATAACAGATAAGTATATTGAACTGGTTAGATAGTTGTGTAACAATTGCCCTTTTGGTCGTAAGTACTCGTTTAAGGTCAACTTAATTCAAATTGTAAACAGAAAATAACAAACAATGTAACATGTTTACCTGGCATCGGCGTATAATGTACAACAACAAGAACTCCAACTATTATTACAGTTAACACGAATATCCTCTGCAAGGACATAAGCATGTAATTTGGCTTAACCAAAGACACTTCACGCACTTGACTCGCCTCTTTTTCCGACTCCATGATTAATGAGAAAAACTTATTTGTCGATGGTCCAACACGAACACGAGATTACATGATTATTTTTCGAAGTTGTTCGGTATAAGAAAGTGAGAGGTGTAGCGTTCGCGACTACGCGAGTCGACCACGAAGTGGCGACTGGTATGGTCGTGAGCCGTCGCCTCCAACCGTTGCAACATCGTGCACCACCATGATCGCGTTGCAAAAGGTTCGATTGAGCCTCGAATTCGGAAGTAAATTGAGGGGCAGCATTGAGCTCTCTCTGCAACTTACGTAATTTTATATTGTGCAACCGTTACATTAATTTCCACCATGCTGACCACTTCAGCGTGTTACGTGTTATACAGTCAACGCAATAACTATGCGCCTAATTATTATTAATTAATGAATTGTAAATAAAAATAATATGTAATAGTCTCTTATTGCAAAGACATACTTAGTTGCAAAACATGTAGTGTAGTCAACTACACTAAATTTTTTGCTAAAGCGGCAAACAATCAATTGTTTGGCTCTTTTGCATGATTTTATTGCTTCTAAAGTCTCTCTTTCAATTATGTTCGTGTTGACGGCTAGTAAAATATTGTAATAATAAGAACTCATATTTTTTGGTGAAATATGAATTCATATTAAGATATTACGATATTTTTTGTTTTAATACACCGTTCCGTATTCTAAGACATTCTTATATCTATATGTACTTATATCGTAAAATTAAAAATCACCACACTCAGAGCCGAAACTAGATATTTCTGGATCACATGAAAGATTTATTTTGTGCAGGAATCGAACCCATGACGTGTTTCACAGCAGTCAGTCTCATAACCACGGAAAGATAGAATATAAAAGTAGAACTTATAAAGAAAATAGATAATTATGGTTGGAAGCGGGAGGACAATTACCCCGTTCATTCTTCCACCCTGGAATAGGATGAGAGGTAGTGTCAGACTCATAGTGACTAAAAACCACTCTGTTCTTTCTCCTGGTTCGGATCGGGCCGTGGTCGGTGGTACGTTATTGCTCTTGCATCCGCAACCCCGGCTAAACATCGGTCCCCATCTGTGGCAGTCTATGGCTCTATCAAACGCAGCTTATGATTACTTACTAATTGAAGTAACTGTGTTATCTTAGGGCAACTTTTAGGTAGATTAACAATTTTTTTTTGCATAACATAAAGAAACCTACTTGAAAATTGAATGAAAGGACATTTACTCGTATTAAGAAATTCGAATGTAGGTACCTACGTTTGTGTATGTATAATAGCCAATTAAATAACAGATATGACTAAACAGTAGGTACCACAAATTGCAACCCGTTTATTATTTCAAATAAAATCCGTTCAATACATGTTAAGTAATTGATTTGTTTGCATAGACGGGTTAATTAGTAAAATAACAGTCAGCAAAAAAGACTTCAATAGCCATCAGACATCAATAATTATACCGATGACAGATTTAGATCATTATCACATAGAACAATCTAGTTCAACTACTTACGGTAGGTACCTACATGTTATCACGTCAGATTGGAAAGTAAATAGACCTTCAGGCAAATTATTGAGTCGATTCGTACGAATACACCGAAGTTCTTAGTGTAATTCCTCGAATCTGTCAACCCTAATAAAAACCACTTTCTTAATATTGCATGATTTTCGTGTAATAACTAGAGTGGTACCACTACCGATACACTTGTATCGGAATGTCAAAAACGATGCTATTATATGAATTTTGAATTAAATCACAAAACATGACGTTAACCAGCATACAGTATACATGGTAAGCGCAATGAGGCACCGCGACCTTGGCCAGGCAGAGCAGGCGAAGGAACAGGGAGGTTTTTAGTCAGTAAGAGTCTGACACACCCTCAAGTGATTTGATGATTTTCCCCTCACAAAAAAAAACCAGCATACTCATTTCAGAAAAACCACACACACACAAGAATAACTCGTTGTGGGTTAACCCGGGTTTCGCCAAGTGCAAGTGCAGTCTTTGAAACCTGATCAGCCTTCGACCCCGAGCTCTTTCGCACACTCTTTCCGTAGATGATCTACTGTTCACCTCAAAAAGGCCGTTTTTCAAAAAGGTTCGGTTTCATAACGTAGAAATAAAGAATCGCCAGAACTGTTTTGCGGTCAAAAATGACATCCATTTTATCCGTAACAAGGCCATCAGAGCGACGTTCATCTTTGACTTCAAAATTTCCAAATTGAAAACGCTTAAACCAAATTCGTACTACTCTCATACAGCTCTTAGGTCCATAAAAATCTCAATTGCAACCTGACTTGCGTTGCATTTTTACCTTTTTTGTAGCAAAATTTTTAAAATGTATCGAATTTCTTCTTTAGATTCAAACATCTTGACAGTACAAAAACAAATGAAAATCACACATATCCCAAATTTGAATTAAAAATTATGTTCTTTAAAATTGAAACAATGATACCAAAACCAGCCAAGCAAATAGTATAGTAGCTAAAGATATTTTATTACAAGTTGACGTAAACAACATTGCAAAAAGACTTTTTCCCTAACCTGATAGTTGCCTTCAATAGACAGATCTGACACTTCTGACACTGACACTGACAATCATTTGTTATTGTCCGGCACCCTTGCTTGACGCTTGTTTTGTGAATATTTTATATATTATTTACCAAACAAAATAAATACCACGCTACATTTTATACATAAAATAATATAAAAAAGATAAGTAACATCAAATCAACATGGAAATAACTAGTCGCAATTTTGACGACGAGTTTAAAAATATCAAAAGAGATATTAATAATGCTTGTTTTGTGGCATTTGACGCCGAATTTAATGCAATTCTATCTGGAGATAACTTTAAAAACAGGTAAGAAGACATCTGAATTATAATTAATTATCTATTTAACCTCGAATACCGTCTAACGACAGCAACTACGTAACAAATAACTACTACGGAGCTTTCCTAAATTTAAATTACTTTTTTGTCCTTTGTTGAATGAAATGTTTTGTAACAACATTCAAAACCTCTAAGTAATTGTTTGATATTCTACAGTCTACAAATTCCACCCCAAACAATTAACCAGAAATTACACGAATATTTAAGATAAAATAACATAAAAATTTTATATGTATTTAAGAGGTTATATTGTGTAAAAACCTGTCATGATTAATGTTATGTTACATTATTATCAATTAGCAGTATACCTAACTAAACTTTTCATTAAGACTACAAAAATAACAGCAATATAGTTTGATTCTGCATAGTCCATACTTGTTTAATTTCAGACAACCTTACCTTAACCTCTTTTCAGATTATTTGACACAAATGAAGATAGGTACAATTTAATTAAGAAAGAAGCTGGTCAACTTATAATGACACAAGTTGGGCTGACAATTTTTGAGTACCAGAAGGATCGGGACACATACATGGCTAAATCCTACACATTTTATTTGTGCCCACAATCATTTGCTGACATCGATCAGTGTTTTATCTTTCAAGCTTCCACACTGAAGTTTCTACGCACACATCATTTTGACTTTAATAAGGTAAACAAATATAAATCCTATAATTAGCTATAATATTAGTATTAAGGGGTCAACAATGAAAGCAATGAATGACACCAATGACAAAATGTGCTGACTCAGCTCCCCACAATACCAAGTTGCACATGAATCTAATCAGCTCTTTAACCTTCCAATCATGGTAATTCAAGACAATAGAGAAACAATAGGTAATCTAATTTCGGGTTTGATAATAAAAACAAAATTGTTTGCAGTGTATGTAATACTTACCATATATACTTAGATATTGAGATGAAAGGTGGTTATAATAAATATTACAAATAACTCTCAGCAACATCTTTTATTTGACACCTATATGTATTGCAGACATACCAATAACAACTAGTAAGCCATTTTGATAGATGTGTTCTTAAGAGTGAAATTACTATATTTTTCCATTTATTTTTAAATAGCTTGTTCACCCTGTGACCACCTTGGATACTTTACCCCCTAGGGTAATATACCCAATGCCCTAGATGGGTATGGGTAAGCAATTCCTACCAAACAACAACCATCTTCAAACATCCACCAAGATTTCACACATAACAAACAAATTAATGCAAGAAATGAATTAAATTGATTTTGTGAGTAGGCTATAAATCTGCATTTTTACCTATCAATGTCAAAATTAAATAATCATACCTTTGTGATCATAATAAAAATATAAAACAGATATTACAATACCTATAATGAAATAAAATTTTAATCTAGTTAAATATTTTTCCAGTTCATATACGGAGGAGTGCCATATTTGAGTAAAGTTGAGGAAGCAGTAGTAAGAAAAAATTTAAAGGAGGACATATTATTCAACCAGCTAACGAGAACACTTCAGATGGAAGATGAGAAGCAACTACAACACTACTGCTCTGAGGTTTCAAAGTAAGAAAATAGTTGTAGCACAATTAGAACCGATACAAAATCCCCACAACAACCGTTGGGCAGTAGCCCACCACAGTCTAGTCGGAGGATCCTCCGTTTTCAATGGAGGATGAGAAACTATCCACTCTGTTCTCTCATAGCTCTAAAAAGGCATTTTTTATGGCCTGAATTTCTAATTATACTGTTAACTCAACTATGCTAGACATGGTCCAACAATGAAAATTTTTTTGTTGTATGTAAAAATTCTGCCTGTGCATGAGAGGGTAGCGCTACTAGTTGCATTGGATCATTACTTTCACCAAGATTACAAAATCAGGACTGTACAATTAAGGCCTCGAAGTACAAAAAGATGTAGTATGTTCCAAGTACCCACTTGCAATAATTATTATGGACAAAGATGTGATAAAACTTTAGTTCCAACAATATTTAACAATCTACCTGCAGATATCGAAAATGCTTCAGTTTCTAAACGGGTGTTTAAATGTAAAACGACGAAATATTTCCTAAATGTACTCAGTGAAAGCATAGATTCCCAAAATATGAAAGCTTGATTATGTTTTATTTTACTAATTTATTAATATAATAATTGAAATAAGTTAAATTGAATTAAAATATATAGAATTGATTTGATAATTCTGTAAATTCCATAAAACTTAAATTAATGTTTCAACTGAATTTAATATAATAACTATTTATGTTTAAATATAATAACTAAGTACTTATGTGCGTGTAATGACAATGTGTGCAAAATCAATAAGTTGTTTAAACGGGAGCTACGTCTGCCAACAAACTGCTATGCAGTTTGGCAGAAGTATATTTTTTGTAAAATTGTCGTTAAAAACAAATAAATGCATTAATTGGCAATTGGTAATTGGTGGCTATGCAATTTGTCACAGTTTCAGCTTCCATACAAAGCAATTATCTGTAGAATCTACCAATTGTTGTTCTGGTATTGGGTGTAATGTGTATTTTAATGCCATACTAGCCCAGACCAGAAGTCAGAGCTTCTCATGCATGGGAGAAGGTTCAAAATCTATCAAGTACCAAAAGTAACTTTTTTCTGGTTATTTGTACTTTCTAATTTATTAAGATACCACTGACAAACTTAAGGGATTTCCTTTGTGAGGAAAATAAAGTTTCGCTAATTCACGCTGGGCAATTGGAGTGATTAATGCTTCAACCTTCTCCATGTGTGATAAGGTTTAGCAGTAAGCACTAATAAGCTGATTATATGACGTGTGTGTGCATTTTAAAATACATATTTGGTCCTAATAATAAAATGTTTGTAAAGCACTGTATAAGTAGTCAGCATCAAATTGAGTATAAATATGTACATTTAGTGTACTCAATAGTTGTGTACTTATACACACTATACTTTTGAGTTCTCTGAATGTCCTTTTTGACTGAGAAGGAAGACCTATATTGAGGCTGTATCTTTTTTTATTTCGGAATGGGCAAACACTTGGCCGCTATCACAAATGGTGGCAAAAGGTTACGATGGAGGATGCCTACCCATAAGCAACTTATTCAATCGGGCCTTGAAGACACCTTTGTATATACCCTTCAAGGAACACAGACTCCGACAAAGAATTCCACTTAGCAGTTCGGATTAAAAAACTGGCCGCTTCGTGCGTGTAGGTGGGATATCCATAATAAAGCGTTATAAAGAAACAGAAATTCAATTCATCCTTTATGCCTGTACTCTTTCACAGTTATGTTCGATATTTGCTATTATCACCGGGCTAATATTGGAACTCGTTAAATATTTCATCTTCTTAAAAAAAATGTTTGCAATTACAGATGGCTGATAAGAAGTAATGAAGAGACAATGTACTTGGATGTCAACAGTCATATACTTCGGTACATAACTCATATGGAGATTCGGATGCGCTTCCCAAACGTACTCACCACAGATAGCTTAGGCGATGGTCAAAAGGTAATTAATCAGAAGCAGATGCATACTTTGTGGTACCAACCTTTTTTATATTATCTCAGTGTGGTCGAGTCATGCTTGGACTGAAATCCATAAATTGTAAAAGTAGTTTCATAGCCAATAAACCACACTTGCTTCTATCTTTATTTACTCCTAAATATGCATAGCTTTATTAAACAGTATATTTTCTTCTCTTTCCAGATCCTAATATACCGGAACAAAACCGTAGAGGGCGCCATCAGCACGCCCAGAGAAGAACTAGAAAATAACCTACTGAGCGGCTTGCTAGGGTTTTCAAAAATTATAACACTACTAGCGGAATCCCAGAAACCCATCGTTGGACACAATTTATTTATAGACACGTTATTATTACACAATCAGTTTATAGGACCACTACCGAATAAATACAAAGACTTTAAGAAAAACATTCATGCAATGTTCCCTATAATATATGACACGAAGTATTTATCCCACGAAATGGCAAAGAAACTCCCATTCAACGAGTGCTGGAAGTCAAACGCATTACAAGAGTGAGTATTGATAGCATTATCGCTATAAACTCATACAGCTTATTTTCACTTCTCTCTGATTAATTGTATAAAAATATTTTGCTACAGAAATGTGCACCATAAATATAGATCATGTTTACGTAACACTCTCTCAATTATATCATTATAACTTAGAAGCCACTGAATCGTTTTCGAATAATAAACAATACGAGATTTGTGGTTCTCGTAAAAATATTCAGTTAAAAAACATTTTAAATAAGTGATTCGTTAATGCTATTATCTGTGCAGACAAACAAACGGGCTGTTTTTAAAAATGGCTGATAATATAATGGTGGGTTTATTGTGACGTTAATAACGTATTGTATTTTCGATTTGCAGCCTTTACGAGTTCTTTGCGGAAAGGAAATTTAAGAAATTACAGATGTGGGTGAATACCATTCAGCTAAGCCGGCCTTTTGCGGCGAACCAGACTTACCACGAAGCTGGCTGGGACTCCTATTGTACAGGTTAATTATTATTTTATAAAAGAGTAGACATACATTGCGAGCGTCATGTATTCTACTCCCGGATAGACCAAAAGGGCAAAAATAAAATTATTCATTATTTAGTAGCCCGATTTTGTTACTTTTCTATCGGACCACGAGAGTTGTTCTGTATTTTTCCAAAGGTGTATATGTACTTGAGCGTATATTAACTTCCTATGTAGCGGACAAATGAATATCGTTACTGCAATGGGTAAGCAGTTAAGCCATTATTCATTAAAGGCAAACCTATTACCATACAATATGTAGAACAATACGTAGGTTCCAAAGCCTGACCTGAGATGGGAAAGACATAGATGCGCATTGTCGCCTCACAGCCTAAGGAATGCATTTTATTCATTTTCATTGAATTCCGTTTGCAAAAAAGGCTAGCAAGATACAGTCTAGTAAGTAATGACTGTTTACAGGTTTCTGTTTCGTGCGGCTGGGTCACTGGGTCGCCTGTGAGAACCGAGGCAGCTTCGTCAATGTAGGACCCAGGGAAATGTTGAAGGTGCTGACACCGTACTGCAACAAGGTCAATGTCATTCGTGGAGCTGTTCAGTACATGGTAAGATTTTTTTATTAACTATTATGTTTTGTCCGCGACTTCGTTCGCGTAGAATAGTGACTACCTGCATATTTTTTGTTTAAAAACTATCTTATGTTCTTTCTTGAGTTCCTAACTATGTCTGTAACAAATTTCACACAAATCGCTTCAGTAGTTTAGGCGTGAAAGGACAGACAGACAGAGTTACTTTCGCATTTATATAGTAATAATTTGGATTAATTTGGACTAGCGTTCTACATTTTGATAATATCTATAGGAACATAGAGAACTTATAACTTAGGAATAACTAATGTAAATACAGAAATGTTTTATTATAAAATACTTTAGTGCAACAATCTCCACGCAATTAATCCCATATCGTTATCACAAAACAATGAATTATTTAAAAAAATAAAAAAAGATAAACTCATCGGTTTCTCCACCCTATAATTATAAAATAATTTATCGGCATCGACCACGCATCTGTCGGCATACAATAGAAACGTCACTACGCGATTGCTCATTTATCGACGACATTCGCGCTCTTTCTAGTGTTGCCAGATATAAAAGACTCGATGAAATGACATGACGAGTGATGTGAACAGTTCGTGTTAAGCTATTATGATGGAATCCAGTACCCGTCACTACGATATTTTTAAATACCCGATACTATTTGTAACTACCCACAGATGTCTATTCATCTTTGCTTTCGTCCACCTCTTTTACTAGTCGGTTAAAAACCAATAAAACCTTTTTAATTGAAACGAAACCAATTTTATCGATGTTTCATTTGTTATTTTAATTTCGCAAATGGTCGTAAATTATGTTTTATTAGTGAATCTATGGTTAGTTTTATTTACTCAACTGCATTGGGTAAACATACTGAGATGTAGGTTTTTATTAATTAAAATATTGTTTGGATATCAAAATAATGAAGGTATTGATATACAGATATACAATAAACTGTATATTTATACTGTGTCCAATGAATTCCTTTTACAAATCCCTATGAAATAATTAACAACCAAAAAAAACTCATGAAAAAGTTACTTACTCGAAAATAGAACATGTTATTAATCTGTTGGGCCACCACAATACGTATTGTTTAACAATAAAACCGCACTGTGTATATATGTCTAAACTATCCAGTTTGAAATTCTCCATGAGTCAAGTTTATACATCGTATTTCACGTTTGAAAATTATTGCGTTTTTTTTATGTTTCACGAATTCACCTATGATTTTTATTATTTCAGAATTTCGCGGAAGACGATCCGCCGCGCTTTCGACCACAGCTGTTGCATTTGATGCTACTCAACCAAGGCTCCATCAATGTCACACAGGTAACAACAAAATAACCTCTTTTTATCTTTGATTAGCTACCCATTACGTTGATACTAAACTTCTCAACTATTTAATAGATGTTATTATACATAATTATAAACCTTCCTCTTTAATCAGTCTATCTATAAAAACTAATCAGAGTCCATTCCGTAGTTTTAAAGATTTAAACATAAATAGGAATACATGGACAGAGAAAGCAACTGTTGCAAAATGTCGTATTTATCAATGACGTATTATATATAGACAAGTCATGAACCAACATCGCGGCGCTTAAAAACGGCGAAAACACTAGATAACTACTTCTACGAGTAAAGAAAGGGAAAGAAAATATGACATCGTATAGTGGAATGCCTTTGCTAGAGGGAGATAAATATACATCTTCAGTTACATCGGCACGTGACTATACCTTCATGCGCCGGCCGCCATAAGATGGCGGGTGCCGGCGTCGAAAAAATAAAATAAAAATAGGTTTTTTGGTGAACTTACGCATGAAATGACACATTTTTGTCTTTAACTTTTGGAGTATAATTTGTACATCGTCTGAACAAACACGACGGCATGCTTTCTTTATGTTTCGCACAGGTTTACACACACGATATAAATTAAAAACAAACGTAGCGTCACGCGGCAGGTTGGTGCGTAACTAAGCGCGATGTTGTCAATTGCCTTCATTTCATGTTGTCATTTTAGAGCGCGGACAACGTATCTGTAGTTTTATACATCATTGGTATTTATTGACACTTCTAATTCACTCTCTCTCTCTCTCAGTGGACTATTGTAGTGGTAGACTATTTTATTTATAAGTTTCCTTAAGCTGTTTTGTCTACATTTTTAATTTAAAGCCTTTATGTAATATCAAACTATAACCTATAACTGTGTCATTTTTTATCCAGATCCGTTCAGTAGTTTTTGAGTAAAAGACTAACAAACATCCATCCATACTTCCAAAATAATATTAAATAATAAGACCTATATGTTTCCTCTGTTATAATAAGGCATCGTGCACAAAATATACTTCAATTATGAATTGTTGTTTACATTACATAAATTAGCTTCGGTAACATTTCGATTTCGTTATGGTTTAAAATCTTATCTCTTTTGGTTGAAACTCCATGTCGTGTTTACACCATTATTCTTGGTCTTATTTCAACTTCATCGTGCAAATTTTAGCGAACAAAAACCCTTCCTATACGTAAGAGTCTCCTACAATTAAACACTAATTTCTGAACGCGTCTGCGCCGGTGATACCGAGAAAAAGTACCCCATAGTTAAAATCCTTCGTCTTTATAATAGTAGTAGGATAACTTTATGGCTTTTAGAACCAATTATTTGAGCTGTCCATCGTCTGTCAGTTCAGTAAATAAATGAATTTAGGATTTTTATTACACAGTAACAAAGCTGTTGCACTTTTATAAATACATTTAATAACAGCTGTTAAATCGACAAGTTCATCGTCAATACGCGAGCGTCTTCCGATACCTAGTTGCAAAATACACAATTAACTTGATTCTGGGTTAGTAAGCACACTGTATTTATTATTATAGAGTGTAGAGGAGTAACATTTATTATGTATTTCAGCAGTATCTACTCTATCTGCACTGTATTCCACTGCCTCCCGATATACACCCGGTATTAATACAATGCTCCTTCAACGCGCTCCTCACTCGACGACCGCCGTCCGCGCTGGAATGCATTCATACTCACATACTCATTTACCATTTAATTACATTCGACATTCCTCCAAATATATTATTGTTGACGTTTGCCAAACTACAACTTGCATCTCTGTAATTACTACATACTAAGGTCAATGTACAATAAATTACCGTCAAACAATTCCGCCGCCTGTTATTTTCAAAACAGCAATAATTTAGCTGCTGCACATAATGATGGTCATATCGGCCGATACAATCGTAATCTGGCAGAGCTCAAAAGGAATTGCATAACGGGTGGAAAACAATGCTATTTTTGTTCGGATCGTAAACATCGTGTCGGGTTCATCTGCGTCGGTATCCTCGGAGCCAAATTTAGCGGAGTATGTTAAGAAACGGTTATGGTAGTAATAATTGTCACGTCGGGAGTCGGGCGCAGCGCCCGCGCCTGGCGCGCCGCCAGACACGCACGGACACACGCACGCACGCACACACGCACACTTGTCGCCTCCCCCGCTCTGCACATATTTCCCGTTGCTAGTTAAAACAGATTGATAATGCCCAAGTGTCACAGGCGAAAATCTTTATTTTCGTACCGACCCGTTTTTTAACTGGTGCGGCCGGTGTTTGATTTCTGTAATGTACAAAATCTTTTTCATGCCACTGTCAAGGTTGATTTAAGGTTGAGATATAAATAAGATTCATCCTAGAACGAGAGCCGGTCGTGGCTATATTTCATCGCGACCTGGCCAGGGTTGTGATGTGTCTGACGTGTCACGTGTCGCAGGTGGCGTCCGAGCTGGGGACCTTCGGCTCCATAGATATCAAACCTTATGGGAGCAGAGCTGCATTAGTGGCCACGAGCAGTCAGAATGTGTAAGTAATTACTGAGTACGGTAAAACGGGGTGAATAGACACAGACAAGTTACTAAGGGGTGAAAAGTCACTAAGAAAATTCGCCAACATCTATTTACCCCTTTTGTGTTTCTATATACCCCTTAAATTCTATTCACCCCGTTTTACGGTAGTGTATCTTTGCGATTTTTAGAACTGAAACTCACTTTAAGATGTTTAAATGGTTTCAGTTAGAATGTAACTACGAGTACTTATATAATATATCTATTACAGCGCCCTCAAGATCTTAAAGGAGTTCAGGAATAGTAAAGAGTACAAGATAACTCCTTACAGCATATATCGACACTCGCCGGCTAAGAGCGTTGTGCTTTGGTGAGTATATAAAAAACGAAAAGTTTTTAAATATCCATATTCTTTCTGTAAGTTGGTGATCAATACACAGGTGTATAATACGATGTCTTTCAACTTCTTTGCAATTCTGAATAAAATAATTCTTAAATAAAAAACCAAAATAACACCAAAAGAGAAAACGAGACTAGTTGTCAAAAATGTTTCGTAATGACGGAAAAATCCGTCCTCGGCTCCTTAAGAATCTCGGCTCGGGCCTCAATGCGCCTCAGCGCTAATCATCAACATTACAATGTACTTATTACACTAAGCGATAATCTGTGAAGCAGTGACAGTTGATACCTTAATTAGAAAATCAGCCAACTCCTTATACGCTTTTTAGGAGACACATAAAACTCAATAATATAGTTTGTAAACTACTTATATAGAAGTCTAAAATACCATAAAATTACCATATTAACCTAAATTATTATTTTTAATACTGCCAGATCTTTAAAAAAATTCTTTACAAAAACATAGCGTTTTTAGGGCTGTCTGGGTCTGTGACGAAATGATGAGTTGTTTTGCTAATCATGATATCGAAATAAAAGTTTGGTTCAGTCAGTGAAAAAGGATAAGAACCTTTTCTGAAATTCGCCTACAGAAAAAAGAAAGGCAGAAGGCTTATACTCGTATACACCTCTTCTATACAGTGTCAGAAACTTCGTATGAAACACTAGCTTTTGCCTGCAAACTTGTCCGCGTAGAACTTGTAGTTTGACTACACGGTTGGCCACGGTTTTTACGGGCGTATACAGATAAATCAAAAAAATAAAAAAATAATTGAATCCCAAATTATATTAAACTCCTGGATCTTTTCAAAGACATTTATATTAAACCACACATGTACACCTTTTATATAACCCTTGATTCTATTCTGTATCTGAACAAAATTTCATCAAAATCGGTTCAGAGTTTAATCGTGAAAATGTAACAGACAGAGTGACTTGCCCGTTTATTTTTTATAAGGATCGCTACAGCTATTTCCGTACTGAAAAGTAGGTACATCGTTTAAGCAAAAAATTAAATTTATTTGTAAAAGTAATCGCTGATGATTAAATGAAAAAGATGTCGGTTTGCTGAACGCTGTATATTTTGAATACAAATAATATAAATCATGCTTGTATCTCACGCCCATACAAGAAACGTATATGATATTTTATAACATTGCCGGATTAAATACAACTGCAAAGTCGGTGTTGTCATAATTTTCTTCAAATATATGTTTTTGTGTATTGTTTATTATTTTTTTGAGAATCTTTGCTTTTTTATAAGTAACATAAAAATAGAAAATACTGTTATACAGATAAGGGTTTCTTAATGTCATACGGTAATCTCTACCAGTCAAGCGTATGCGCAAGTACTTCTCTACATCAGCGAAAATAATTAGTTACGGAATGTAATTCTGTGTAAAAAAACAAACAGAACAGATTATTTTTTGCCATATTAAAATGGTGATTAGTTATTGACCCATTAACGTATAAATATCAAATACTCTCACTTGGATATGGCCCAGCCATATCCCCCTCGCATCCCCCATCCCACAACCCCTTATCTCCAAAAGATTGACACTTGAAACTTCTCTTGTTCATGGGTTACGCCCGGCTACTTACCATTAGGTTATTCGTAAGCACGTTTACCGCCGTATCACATAAAAAAATAAAAAGAATATAGCGTTCAACTCAGACTCCTTCCTTTTTCGGATAACATGTTAACAATTCGTCCTATCATGCCATTTACTTAACCTAAAAGCTATGAACACATTCCCCACGATGTCCAAATGTCACTCCTCCCACGGATATTCTGAAAATACTCATACCTAAATATATATTCAACCCTATTTGACATCAAAGTATCCTTTCTCCTTCACTGTCATTCTTTCACTCACACATTAAACCCTTCACACGACAAACATTTTTTTTATAAACACCAACAACGGTACTTTTAAAAGTTAAGAATATATTGAGCCCTTTTTGCCTTGGGGGGGTTGACTATCACCATTTTAGCTCAAGTCGGTGATAAAAAATATGTGTTCATTTTTTTTAAAGGTAGTTCTTGCCGAGACATCTTTAATTTTGAAATCAGTTGTATTCCCTAGAGAGTGAAGAGAAAATTGTGGGAAATATGTGAAATATAACACCCCTGTTTATCAGTAAACCCTTCTTTACTTCGCGATAAACTTACAGCCGTTTAGTTGGCCAATTTTCCTAATCTGGTATCGGAATTAGGTCCCCATGCTTAGCAGTTACTTAAGCCTACAACAACTCACCCAACCAGGCCGTCAAAAAAAAATTGTTTACTTAAGGTACTCAAATTTGGCATCAATGATGTACTAATAAGGTGTTATTTTCCAGGAGCAGCGCCTTAATCACCGGAAGCATAGTGCTGTACCTTCTACACAAGAAATTAAGATAATATATGTATATATCATTATTTCTTATTTTCATGTATATAAGCTAATATGTACTTTTAGTACTTTCTGTAAGTGAAGTTATTACCAAAATGTTTGTAAGAACTTAAATATGAAACATAATTTTCATGGCCACGTGACTAATAGTAACATAAATAACAGATTCCTAAAATACTGCTTTTAGTGCCTTAACTATAAAACACTGCCACGTTTCCCATACTCAAAGAGCATTAACAGTTAATAAAAGTTCACTATAAAGTGAACAACGCCACTAAACTCAATTATACATTTTACTACAAACACCTTAGTGTGATTAATACGCGGTAAACACATTTCTGTAACTCCGTCGTACTTTGCAAACGTAAACTGATATTTGTTCTACGAGTATTTTTAAGTACAAATCATGTATGTAAGTACTTAGATTTCCTATATATTTTTTCATAAATTACTATCAGAAGATACTTGAAAACTATATTTTCTTTCTTTTCGCCTTTTTCTTGGATAATATTTTGTTTAATACAACTCAATCTAAATAAAATTGTCAGTCAGTATATTAGTTGAAGTATATTAGATACCTAGTGGAATTTGTGATACTATACCTAATTATAAACGTGTTACGTATTAATTATGTTAAAATATTTAACTAAAGTTTATTAAATTATATTTGATTATTGCTTCACAAATTAAGGTTTGAAAAATTTAATGCAGGTTTGCGTCTTTTTCTTTAGTGGCAACATTAATAATTTAACTGTTTCTTAATTGATGTAAATATTATATACAGTGTAGAAAAACCTTATATTTTCATATAAAACTTGTCCCGAATATAAACGAACACGATAATAATCATCAAAATTGTTACAGCAGTTTAGTAGTTAGTTTACAAGATTTTGTTACAGACTTATTTATAATCAAGAGAGATGTTTATAAATATGAATTAACGTGTGATCATTTGATTTTGTATGGTATTCCCATTTCATTCAGTTCTCCGTCTTTTTCTTCAGTGGCAAATTTAATGACTATATTTTTTTGTTAATAGATGTTATAGTTAAGTGTGATAATAAATATAAATAATGAAAACAAACTTCCTGAAGTAGACTGATTGAGTTTTAATTAGTTTTAAGCTAAAACGTGTCACAGTGTACCTTTACTACCTATGTATATTTTGTTAAAATAAATCATGGGTCATACTGTATTTACGTTGTTTTAATAAACATCTTATCAATTAGTATAATTATTTTTATATATTTGTTTGTAATCGAGAAAAGTCATATCTCGCTCCTCGCTTAGTAAAAACTAAATTTATCTTTGTCTTTTACATTAGGTATATTTAATTATTGATATTGTTTTATAGAAATCGAACTAAGGCAACGAAACCACTGCTAAAGTTCTCATCTGTTACTTTTTTGTCATAAATCCGTAAACGACTTGATGGATTACGTACACGATGGAAAGAAATTAGCGCCACCCATGGACATCCGTAATACCAATGCCTTTTGTAAGCTCCTCTCCTCTGACGTCACACTGCGAAATGCAACCTAAGTGGTTACTTCACGCCGCGCCGGTTTTCTGTGAAACCTTGGTTTCACTCCGGCCGAGTCGGTCGACCCGTGCCGAAGCACGGCACTCCCACACTAATAATCATCTTTACATTTTTACTCGAAATATTAGTTTCACATTTGCCAAAAGTGCCATTACGTGTCGAATTTGAACAGAGTATTTAAAAACAATGTCTAGACTAGGCTGGAGTAAAACAACACTTCACTCGAGCAAAAATTCAACAAAACAGTACAATATTTATACAATCAAAAGTGCTTGTTAACACTGCCTGTCAATTGTAACATCCATTTTTGACTGATCGTGGAATAAATAATGCTCATAAAGCGATACTTCCTCTACCAATAGACTAAACAATCATTAAGTACTCATTTAATGTTAATAGGTTTTTTTTTAATTTGGTGAAGTACTTTCCTACTTCTATTTGGCTCCCTTGTCTTTTAACGATGAGGCTGTGCGATTATGGCCTTGTGTATAATATGTATAAAAAAAAATCTTATTTCTTTTTAATAACTAAATGGACAAGTTAAATTATTTTAGATGTCATGCTATGTACAAAAATATGTATAGGTCCGTCCGTACGTCCAGTCATCATCTTTGGGTAAACTAATAAATTATATAACTTTTATGGTTTATTCTGAAGTTTTCGTCAGCGGCTCGTAATTTTTCAGCGTTGATAGCTGTAACATGAAATAAAATATTAAAATCTGTCATCGTTCAGCAGATGGAAATATTATGAGTAAGTATGAGTAAGTATTTCTCTGACGGAAACATATTAATTTCAACGGAATCGTGAAACCCTTTCGAAGTCGCTCAGTATGGCGGATAGCAGTGTTTTTTGAATGAATGAAGAACAAACAATATAGAAGCATCAAGCAGGGCAGATAACATATGACTTTACTCATGTAGTGCATAAATATGAGATATAATTTACAAGTTATGTAATACGCAAACGCGTTAATGTCGGCAGCGAGATTATAACTCGGAGCTAAGCAAACAGCGCGTGAGTTAGGTTGCTTACACATCGGTGCGCCTGCGCAGACCGCCCGACCGGCCGGAATAAGGCGGGAAAACGTTTTGACATGCCTGATTTATGTTGATTTACTGCTCACTTGCACAACATTACGCCTCGTCTGTGTGTGTGAGTTGGACACTTCCTGGATATTAATTAATTATTGCATCAAACCAACACAGAAAGATTATATTTAGTTTTTGCAAATTAGTTACTCTAATGTGGATTTCTGGTTATACGTAGATATCTAATACCTAATAAACCTGGGTTGCCTAAGTAAATACAATAATATAATGTTATTATAACTACACCAGATAGATACAGTAATTTTTGTTTTATCTAAAAGTCGTTAGTAGGTACGACTTTACCCACATGTGCGCTGTGTTTTTTCACTGCATGGAAGGAATTATCCTTGTAAATATCTATAGATCCACATTCCTGAATATTATACTTACGAATTTCTTATTATTGTACCTACATTTAAAGCAAATAAATTATTTCATTTCATTTACGAAAAACGAGGATGCTAACATCACTAATAAACGATCACTAATAAAGAACTTCTAACGTTCTTTATTAGTGATCGATGGATGCTAACTAGTATTTAGAAGCAAAACTAACATTTTAGGAGAACTAATGATATGCCTTTGAAGAATCAGGAATATTGGCATATACCATACCTACTCGGATTGGATAGGATTTTCCCAACATCGCCGTAAGTACGTTAAAAAGAGAGGTATTTTAATAGATCTATTAAAATACCTATGTTTAGTGACCTTAATCGGTTAATTCGATTTAACGCGGTTGTAATGCTGGCTGGCAAGCTGCGTACTGCTAGTTCTGCCAACGGTTCCAGCAACGATGTTCAGCGGCAATAAAATGTACGCATCATATAAAACATTGTAATTTTCGCGAACTGCGTAAAATTGTTAACAATGTGTGTGGCTTATTTATTGTTTCTGGGTAATTTTAAGCTCGGCCACCATTTTATGAATAATTCTGTAGGTAGGTAACTACTGTAATGCCGGAATATATCAAAGTTGCTTCGGTTTCTTAGATGTTTGAGGAATGCGAAATACAACTGACGTTTGCCGCGGACAGAAAAACTGTCAGCTTGTTATTACGTTTTAAAAAAACTCGGCGCAAATTCGCAACGGTGACTGGATTACGAAAACTACAGCTTTCGTATTTTTACGCGAGATAGATCCGCCATGTACCTATCACGATAATTCAAATTTGAAACGCTTCAAGTCTCGATCCGCCTCTTCCGCGGCTCTTCAGAGATATTAAAAAACTTTTGGCACACATTTTTTAACCTCGGTACTTCCTCTTAGCTAAATAAATCGTAAACAGATAATAAGGCAGGTACGTCGCGGGGACTTTAAATGCGGCGGAGACAATTAAAATAGATTTCCACCTGTGAACCGAAATGTCTGAAATAGATCTTGCGTCTTATCCCTGTAGGTAGAAATTTGATTAATATCTTGTATGATGTGCACAGTGCACTCACATGTTCCGTAAATAGGTCGTAGCAAGCAATTTTACACCACCGTCTAGCAATGTTTCCGCAAATACACGCACTCTGAGTTATTGCTTGTCTAATAGTTGACCGGCTTTACCGGGCTTGTTTTGAGTTGGCTATGCACATGAATAATGTTGGATTACATTATTACACGTAAAAATGACTGTATCTTGGTTCAGAATGTTATAGAAGCTTTAGCTCTGAAGTCTTGTAGCATGCCAAGTAGTTTCTTATTCGTTTTGAATTTGGCTATCGACGCATGTTATATTTATTTCCGTATAGGTTGGAAAGGGCACCTAGTTTTTTGGAGCGAAAAAATAGGCAGTGTGGATTTTTACCTCACTAAAACCACCCCGGTGGCCACAATCAGCACCAGTTAAGCGGAACCGAATCCTGCTCCGGAGCCCTCGTCGTGCAATGACTGTTACGGCATATCCTTAAAGAGATACCAAGCAACTACAATATGAAAAGAACTTTTATGTATTCTGTCTAGGTACCTATTGGACTTAAAAGCCACGAAATCATCGTTTACCCTACTTAGGGTCAAACTTAAACCTTTACCACTGTCACTAATTTTATTCGCTCCATCAAACATGAATCTATTCAATCACTAAATGAAATCAGTCAATATAAATAAAATTATTAGGTACTCTAAGATGTAAGTATCCAATAAATTTATCTACTGACTTTGTAGTGAAACTGTATGTTTTCATGTGTAATATTATGTTGTAAGTAGGAATGTATTATTCCAGGGTATCATCATACCAAATTTCAACCAAATCGGTCTAGCCGGTTTTGCATGAAAGAATAACAAACATACATCGATACATTCTCATAAACTTACACATTTATAACATTAGTAGGATTCAAACTTATAAAAAAATACCATTTTCATGCATAAATTTTAAAGCAAACCTAATGTTCCTAAAAAAATAACATCGCAACTTGCTAATGGTAACAAAATTCATAGAAATTATAACATTATGAAAAAAGTGATGAATTAAACAACTAGGAAGTTACCCTGTTATCGATCCTCATAATAAAACAAGGATGTAATTAGAAATTCTCATTAGAAACTATATAAATTATATTAATTAACGATCAACGCGCAGTACTGAGCTGTTGATGGGCAAATAGCCACAAGTATTTTAAAATATCGGCTGTGAGTCGGCTGGCGACGATTGCTATTATCTTGAATTTGACACAGATATAGATCGTCAAGCCCAGCCACAATTTAAGAGCTTCCTGGTCCTGATTGATGTATATAAAATTAACCCCACAATCTCCCTTGGTGATTGCATTACGCGTTAAATATGTCATCTTAATAACCAGTCTGCAAGGACTATTAACTAAAATGACGTCGTGGTGGCCCGTCTCTCGTGTTGTGAATGCGGGTTGCAAATACCAATGTGACTTTTTCCGAGTTACCTATTGGCTATGTGCGACAGTGGCGACGCGTAGCGTTTACAACATTTGTGGAAGCTGTCAAATAATAATAATGTGAACATTATAATTTTCTTTGCAAATCTAAATAAAACGAAAGATTAAAATAGTATTGTAGACATTATTTAAGTGCAATGTATTCAATAGTTTTACTGTAAAATGAATATAATAATAAAAACCGACAGCTGCAGCATTTGTTTCCAATTTCTGCCGTGCTGTGCGCTGCGGTCGTTATCTGTCCGTCACTACTCGCTTTGCACATAGCCAATATGTACTACCTATCTATGATTATTTAGAAACTACTGACTCATCGTTAGGAAACATGGACTTATAATTTCTAATTATTAGTTTGAAATTACCAAGCAAGCGTGATGATTTATGGTCAAACCTTCTCCCTGTGTGATTATGTCAGCCGGGGTTGCGGGGTAAGCGCAATGAGGCACCGAGATATCGGCCCAGTGCAGGAGAAGGAACAGGGGGGATTTTAGTCAGTAAGAGTCTGACACTCCCTCCCGCCCGTCGGAGAAGTCAATTGATGATTACCCCCTCACAAAAAAAAATCTGCTTATTATGTGATGTGAAGTACTGCGGAAAAAAACCTCTTCTTACACGGAGAGAGCATTAATCAGAACTGTCTGTTGGCAATTTCAAACTTATAATT